TTTTCAGCAACAATTTTTTAATAGTTACTGCTTCTAGCCACCGTGTGAAATTGTATAGTTACATTAAGACGTAGGAGTTTCCATTCAAATCTGGTAGGGGTCCTATCAAATCAAGATGAACATGTCCAAAACGAGCGCCGACAGATTTGAAAGACCTAAAGTACAACAACCGGGATACTAATACTCTGTTTGAACAAAGAACTGACGAATCGAAACTCGTTTGATGAGGCCGGATCGCATTTTTTGAATAGCGTGTAAGATCCATTTTGAATGTTTTGTGTTGGTGAAAATCCATCCATGTATATACTTGTACTTTGTTCCTATTGATCCCCTTAGTTGTACATCGTTGTCTTTTGAGTACATTGAATTGGTAATACTTGTATTTTTTATTATAGTTTTTGTTTTTCTTACGCATTCACTAAGTTTGTGTTTCTTCCTGAACTGCATCTGCGTTGTTTTACTTGACACTTGTTCTTGGCGGTAGCCATATTGATTTGCTCCTCCTTTTGTGTGTGTTCTATCCAGTCAGGATAGAATAACGTTCATTTGTTGTGACTGGTAATTTTCCCTCATCTTCTATCAACTTCTTTATTTATTGTAATTTAGATTTGATTGATTGAACAATCATTGGTTGAATAGCCGGGTGGTAATATTTGTTTAGGTAACGATTTACATTTAAATTTATGATGAATTATAGAACCGCTATTTACCCGATTACTTGTTTTGATTTCGACGGGTAAGGACGCGTGTCTAACGTACCTGGACGGCTATTCTTCAACATCCAAACCGTAGTTTGGATTCTACATAGCGTACGCAGCGTATTTGAGTGAGTCGTATAAAATTATATCAAAACAAAAACTTCGTACTTAGTTTAAACGGTTGTGATCTGAGAAACAGAGGAAATCATATCAAAAGTATGAAATACCTTGAACGGTACAGCCTGCGTTACACAGTAATGGGTTTCGCAAACACAAACGTGCGTGCTAAAGAACTGAAGGAATGGTTAATAAACAAGAGTTTGATACCTGGGGATCAGTAAGGATAGTCCCAAAAACATGGGATAACACATCTGGTTGCAAGGGTTACAGCAACCTTTTTAAACAGAGAGTTGAATTCTATCAGTCATTTGTTGAACCATGCCGTAACCTTGATCGTAGTTAAATACGACCTTATTGTCAATTATCTGGCAACATCCAATAGCAAAACTAAGTAGCAAAACTTAAGCCTCTAATGAAATTCATTTAAAAGAAGCTCAGAGAGGAAAGAATGAAGAAAATAAAGTGCTGTTAAGAGAGACCTGAATAAAGGCTAAAATACACGACAGGTCGAAGCAGCAAATAAATATCAGTACTGTTCAATAAAATGTTCCGGAAAAATTTTCGGCGTATTCTTTTCGCTTCACTGACCACCAAAATCCCTACAGCTACGCGGAGCCACATCTGTATACATCCACCCATGGCTCTTCTAGTTAACTTCTCTATGTCAATGAGTAGCACAAGACGCCTGAACCTCCATAAACCTAATATATAGTCTGCAGTCATTGGGCTCACCCTAGAAGACTAATCTTTTGTAGCTCTTCCACATACCCCATTTTGCACCAGGACTAATACATTACAACTGGAAGCATCTAATTCACCAACTGTCAGACAGACTACACCTGAGGACTTCTCTTGATGATGAGAGCTTATGGTGGCTAAATAGATCACGTATCTTTCCAACCATGCTACCGATTTAATCAGCTTTATCCAATTTCAGCCGTATAATAGAACAGGACAGAAAATAAGTTTTACTATGGCTGAAATGATCATGTGAGTACTTTTAACTTCAACATTTTCCACATTGTTTCCCAAAGAAGCTTCGGTATTTCTACAAACCCTCTATTCCTTGAGAATGAAGGACCTTAAATCCAGGTATTTATACCTAGTTCCCCACGAATGTCTTGCGACGTCCAGTCGGGAGGGAAGTTGAACGAGACAAGGAGTCTGAAATTACATTGTACACCCCAAAAATGTGTTGTATATCTCAAGTAAACTACAAAATATATTCAAGTTGTCGAGACTCTCGAGGTGAGCACTTGTCTGAAGATGAGCTTAAAGTGACTATAAAGGGTTCGTGATCGGCTAAAAGAGTGAAATTTTGACCTTCAACAGAATGATGAAAGTGCCGCACAACACAATATATAGGCGGGAGTTCCCTACCGAAAGTGCTATACCTGGATTCGGTGTCTAGCAACTGTTTCGAAGAAAATGCTAAAAATTGTCAAGTTTGGTTAACTCATTGTTGTGTGACTCTTCCGACTGCCGAATCAGATGTGTCCACTGCGATACTAATGGGTGCGTCGGTGTCCCAGTATGAGAGCAATTTTGGTAGAGCGATAAGTTCCTTGACTGTGGAGAATGCTTTTTCCGTGACATCGTTTAAATTCACGGGTTTTGCGTTTCCCTGAAGTTGGTCGGTTAGAGGTTTCACAAGTGACGCGCAATTAGGCGTGAACCGCCGATAGAAAATTAAAAAGCCATTGAACGTACGTAATTGCTTGACTATATTCGGTTTTGAGTAGACAAGAATGACTGCCTCTTTGCATTCCATGAGCACCAGTAATGTGTCCGAAAAAGTTTAAGGAGTCAGTTTGACTCTGACATTTTTGAATGTTGACAGTTATGCAGTCGTTCAGAGACAAGGTACAGACGCTGAAGATGAGATTCTTTGTTCAAATTTACAATCAAGCAGTCATCAACACACACATGTACGAATTTCGGATTTCGAAAAGCGTCCTCGATGAACCTCAGGAAAGCTCGTACATCATTTCCTAAACCGGTATACACGAAAATTCGTAGAGACCGAAAGGTGTTCTGACAGCGGCGTTAAGAATATCGTGGGAACTCAAATGTATACTTTGAATGAATCGATTTCAAAAAATCAGTTGTACTTTTCAAGTTAGCTGTCAAATCGTGAGCGTGATGCAAAAGTGACGATCAGGAATAGTTTTCGCACTCAATCGCTGATAGTCACCAGTTGGACGCTAGTCGTTGCTGTCCGTTTCATGGGCCGTGTGCAGAGGAGACGCCTATGGGCTGTTGATAGGTGAACGATTCTCTGTTGGCCAACCTCACTTTTTCGGGAGCTAGTCGGAACGCTTCCAGTAGTTGTGATATGATGTGTGACATTGCCGATTACACATTGCAATTTTGATTGAGTTTGGTATATCGCAGAGTACCTATTGAATATTTGTTGATAGTATGGATTGGTCGTGTGTTTCACTCTGACTGGGGACAATTTATAACCGGAAAAAGTTGTGCAACACATAAATTAGTAATTCCGTCTACACGCGTGTCGATGAGTAAATTATAATGTTGTGGCAGGTCTATTTCAATGATTGGCATCTGCAGCATAAAAAATGTAGTGAATGGGTTTGTGTAAGCCCACGTTAAGATATACATATGGCCTTCAGTGTGTGGCTGTCAATTATCCATTTTCCTCCTGTAAGTTGGAACCTGCCTCGTTCATTCGGTAGTTAGAATTCGCTGGAAGAACGCTGACTTCTACGTCAGTGTCAACGAGATGGCAGACTTTTGTTATCATATCAGTGATGTATAGCAGACGGTTATGTTCGTCGGCTACGGTTGCTGTTAATGCATGCCGGCTTGGAATTTCACCGAAACGTTAGTCTGTTAGCTTGGGGCTCAAAGAATTACAACTTTTCTGCAATTTCAAGATTTCCCATACTGATTATGATACCAGTAACAATCAGGGTTATTTGTCTGTCGTAATCTAGAGACAGATCGTTTTCGCAAAGTACTCTTCAGAGGGTTTTGAGACCATTCACGATCATGACGAACACTAAGGTAACGTGTTAGAGTATGGCAGAGTTCCGTGACGTCAGTTATTGTCTCTTGGGGTTTTCTCTGACTGAAGACCTAGGCGTTGGAAGTTCTTGTGATCTCCAGGATTCGGCCGGCAGGTGCAGCCAGGTTGTCTACAACGTTGTTTTGAAATCAAACAAGCACTGCCTGCACCTGCTGAAGAAGCTTAAACAAGTAAATTTGTCTAAACAGGCCATCGTCGAGGATCCGTCGACCAATGACCTTTCTCATCCGTAACAACATATCCGTTGCTGGGTCATGTTTTAGTTAGGTTTTATTGATGAGTCGATCTAAACTTCATCGATCGGTTAGATATCCGCGTTTAAAAATCAACCTTTATAGAGCTTCATAAAGTTCCGAAACATCTCTGATAAACATACTAGGTGCGACGTACCCGTAGAATTCGCGCGGCAGTGTCTTCACCACTGCGGAGAGTTGTACACCCGGGCCGGTCATGACGTGCTCGTGCTCCACAGTTTGCAAACAGGTAAACCTGATCATGTCGAGCTCACCACTAAAGATGCCATAAGTATTTGGAGTTTGACAACACCTTAATTAGTAACACCTTTTACAATTGGATTGTGCTAACCCGGCGAAATCAGAAGTCCGAAGTGAAGAGGTTCGAACCCACTCATGATCTGGTGCTAATTAAAACAAATATGGCCAGCATTAAATGTCGAAAAGTCACAGAGCTATTGATTTTGGGGATTTATTTACCGCCAAATACTGTTATCATTATCACACATCAGTAACTACTTACTGACTCACTTATTATCATCCCTATTTCTCGTTCTATTCTCACGCTTTGTTCTTCTCACACTGCATGAATCGACAGCTAAGTGAGCTTTACTCATTGGTTGATTTAGTGAAACAAAATCTTTTCTTAGCCCCCGAGTTGTCCTAGTACCTTTATAATTGCAAACAACCGACCGCTTAGAAAGCAATTTGATGACTACGTGTATCAGGATGGTTTTCGGATGTTGGTTATTAATGATTCTTCTCACAGGTAAGTTGACAAAAATTCAACAGGTACGTGAAAGCAAGACTCACAAAATAGTACAAAACGTACAAAATAAGGTTGTTCGTCTAAACAATCGAAAACTCTGTTATTTGCACATCAGAAGACGCTTGTTTGAACTTGTACATTATGTCTGAAACTGATTATCACCAACTGGCAAGGTAACAGCGCTGTTTTAGAAACCATGGATATAAAGACAAGAGCAATTGAGTATTTTTCTAACAACAATATTTTGAAAGAACTTGAGAATGCTCTACAACTTATGTTCCAGGAAAATGCATCAGATCATTCCGGCTATTTAGTAACCACAGTTGACTGACTAACATTTTACAGAGCAAATATTTCGAAAAGATTTCCCTTACTCCGAAAGTTGTCAGCATCAAAGTGGACAGAAACTATTCATATATTGGCACCTTTTCCAGTTCTTTGAGTGTACTCACACTGTGGCGAACAAATATTGAGGTTTTTCCATTATTTTAGTAGTTTAATTTACTGAAGGTTACCACAGGGCTAAACTATGTTTATGGATGCAATTATTGTCTGCCTTATGGAAACATCTTTAATGAATCAACACCCTCTGAATTCTCAGTTTGTATAGAGGCAATTGTGGATTTACTGAATAATTGCCTATGGTCACCAGCGGAGATGTTTGAAATTGATAAATATATCAGGTAATAACTCTTTTTTGTAGGCTACTTTCCATTTCTTCGAGTGACTTTACGTGTTAAACATACTTTCTTATCCTGAGGATACGGCAAGTATTCTCGTAGCTACAAATCGTCAAGGGAACAGTTGAATTAGAATGTTTGTAGCAATTGCTACAAATCTCTGTGAACACGAGCATAAATGATTTGTCATAACCTTTGGACAACTGGATTATTCTCATCTTCCCTCTTTTCCAACACCTAATATTTTAGCCTTTCTAATTGCTCAAGTGTAATCACAAGCACACTTTATATATATGTGTATGCTAGTACGTAGGTATCTGTATACTCGCTTGTACCTTTCGTGCTTGTAAATGTTGTCACGTTTTGTTTGAGAATGACTGGTGCACTGATCGATTTCCATCCATCATTTCAAAGTCTGTACGTTCACGTTAGACACTGAAATAAATCCGTCCAACTTAATTAGAATTTGGCTTTTTATTACTGCCGTGGTCAAGTGCGTTTACCCTAAGCAGAATATATGAAATCAAACGAATAATTTATGTTCATAGCCAGTTCATTCGCTTGTTATAAAGTAACACACAAGCACTAAATGTTTACCAATTTAGTACCTGGTTTCCTATCTTGCATAGTCATTTCTGCACTTGATGATATCATTATTTTTGGACATCCAATCATGTTAGACATCATTTCTTGCCGTACTTTTGGAACGGAGGTAAATATAGTTATATCATACGTCTGTGATGTCACTCCTGCTTACAAAATCAGCATTTAGCTAAAGCCCGATTCAACTTCAAAGGGAACTAATCTCAAACAATGTCTAATAATTGTTAAAAGCAACTATTCATTCCATTTACGGTAGCTTACTACGACTGCAGATAATAGAAAGTGTTGGACAGATGCGTTTAATTCATATTCAACACAATATATTGCCTTAGACCATCATCTTTAATGTAAACCGTAAATACAACAGCAAGGACAAAGAACCCCTAATGTTCATACTTTTATACTCTTAAAATGTATTACAAATATTACCAGGACAACGTCTGTTTTTTAGGCTGTCAGCATCAAATGTTAACTAGCGTGTCTGTTGGATAGATAAGTAAGGAACATCTTTGTCTGTCGACTTTTTATAAAATGTCTATACTGGGAAATAGTTTTCAATTCCTGAAAAATCAGTTCAGGCAATGTTAAATCTAAACTATATAAATATAAGTATTCCTCTTAAAATCGTCTTCAGATTATCTTAACTACATGAAAAAATCACAATAGAATGAGAACAAAACCGTAGTGGATATGAGTAAATGTTTATTGATATGTGGAAATGAAACCTGATAAAGTTTTACTTGAAAAACATTGCGGTTGCATATGTATTTTATGACAAATAAATACTAGTTGAATGTGTGACAGTAAAACAATAGACGTTTTTAAAAAAAGCTCCATGTTGATGATATCTGTCTGTCTTTTATATAAAATGTGATATGTACTGCTATTCATTATTCTGACAACAATGTATCGATCTTTTTGTGATTTGATTTTGATACTAGAGAATGATTTCAGGTTTTCGAAGGCACTTAGTATCATTACACTCAGCCATTGGACTTTGGTTATCATAAGAAATATGTTAGACGACTGAAGATTAAAATATTTTGATGGGGTATAAATGACATTGTCTTAGAGAAGTAGATTTGTCATTTGCCTTCTATCAAACTATCATTTCATTATTTGTGTGCTAGAAATGACTTAGAATTTAACCAAATGTACATCACACGAAATTGAATTTATTCATTTCTTTTATTTGCATGAATATTGTACTAAGACGTTTAAATATAATCTTCTACTAATGGTTTCATAAACTTTACAATTTAGAAACTTCTACAATGAATACAGAAAGCAATTGAATAAAATGCAAACGGATGAAAGCGAGAAAGAAATAGAAGTTATTGGTTCAAAAGAAATCCCGTTAAAGTCTACGTCAGAACAAAATACAAAGTAGTTTTGAAAATGGTTGTATTCTCTTCTTTGTTGTTGATGTAATGTTATGTGAATATGAACCTTGGTAAATGAATGAACAAAGTATTAAACCTTATAAGCAAAGACGGATAGTGGCTAGCAGTGAAATTCAGGACGCACTTTTCGTCCCTTTTGGGACTTTTCAGCTGGATGTACCTGCATCTCACAGTTGATGTTGACTGTGGGACCCGAACTCAGTACTGTTCGCTTCAAACGCCACCACGTTATCCACTTAGCTTCTGAGTCCTGATAGCCACTATCCATCTTTGCTTAAAATACTTATGAATTAAGGCAATACCGAGACAATACGCACAGTATACACATATGCCAATCAGAAGCTGACCGACTGCAGCCCTAAACAACAATGATAAAATTCAAGCAAACAATACCAAGTCAATTTAAAGTATAAAAAGTTTCATACATCTTATCTAAATGTGTTAAAATTACTTCACAGACAAACTTCTATGATATGATTCCTAGAGAAGTTTTGTGATGATAAATGAAACCAGATTAGAAATATTGAAGATCAGTTAAAGCATTAGGATACCAGCTAAAATTTACTGTTATGGATATACACCCTCTGTCTTCCCTTAAACTATGAGATTGAAATCGCTTCATATCTTACTTTCTACCAACTAATTCTTTCTTCCTGTACTATCTCCTTATATGCAATCTTTCTCTTATACATTACCACCATTGAATCGACTACTTGTATGAATTCGGTGTTCATCTTGCTGTGCTAATGCAGTATGGCAACTGGGACCGATGCACATATGTATGCCTGGTCCTTCGTTGTAGCTGACGGACTGACTAAGATAAAACACTCTGAAACAGTTCATTTTATCTAACGGCAGAAAATACTTTTACTCAAAGAATTATACATGTGAATGCAAATAGGAAGCGAAAATCAGATAATGTGTATTCCACAAGCTTTCATTTTATATGATAAACAACTACAATATTTAGGTTTCATGATGATCACATTCATTTTGGTTAGTAACTGGAAAATTGTTCAAACCTTTTCAGCATTAAACTTCATAAAATTAAACATCAGTATGTCGATTGCTTCATGTTTTGTAAAATTCCACAGTTAGATATCCATACATCATTTCATTATTAAAATATTTTGTGGGGTAAAATGATATGTAATATTTGGGTGGCCCTCTATCGCCCTGGTACGGCTGAGGGTGGAGAGAGTCTGCTCTTCTTCTCCAATTGCTCTCACATAGCCCCATGTATATACAACCACTGCTAGAGATGTCCTACGCACTGCCTTCTCGTGGCATTACTGTTATTTACGAAATTGAGAGGATGAAAAGCGAATATCCGGCGCTTTAACCTGGTTGGTAGATATGGAGAATCCAACTAGGGGAGTTAGAAAACCCTCATTCCAAACCAGTGATGTACATGAACTCCAGTATCCTGTAGGAATAAATGGTGAATGAACCAATTACTGGCCATCGGCTACCATGTGACCGCATCTCTTGACGTTGCTCCACTACATCGTGGATTAGACCTTTATGTCGAAGGCTCCAGGTGTGGCCCCTTAAGAAAACCATCTGCTTCGGTTTGGGCACCTGGGCAGTATCACAGTCCTCACACACGTCAAATGAGATTTGTGTGGCTCATATATATCTGGTGCCCCCTTGTACCAATATTCATGTGTTCAAAAAATAAATAAAAATAACCAACTTATAATTACTATAAATGCTACTTAATAACCATAATGAGTAGTATAATTCAAAATTTGAAAGAAAAACAAGGAGGACAATTTACGAACGATCTTTAGAGGAATCTTAAGTGACCTTGAGAAATATTAGCCAATTATAAGACACTTAAAAATATTATACCAAACCAAAGGAATAAAGTGGATACACTTCTCGTAAATGGTGCAAAAACTTGTCAAGGTTTGGGAGAGGTTTTGAGGTTCTAAAATCATAATACATACGGTAGAGGAAACCATCTATATGGCTCTATAATGGTCGGCCTCTGAAGCCGTGATAAGGTCGTAAAAACTCTTTCAGCCTCGACTAAATAGCTTCAATATTGTTTGTGTGCACTCCGGTTGTCGGGACCACGAAGTGCCACTTGTGGATAACGACATGATGCACATAATCAAGTCTATGTAGGCGTCTGTGCGCTCTCCAATCAATCGTATATAATGTGGTGAGAGACTGCAACCAGTGTTACTGGTGCTTTTATTATCCAGTTCTCAACAACTGTCATAATTTGCCTTAGTGTCAATCTGAATCGAGCGAAAAAGTTCCTATTCTAGTAGGCTTCTTCCTCCAACACATATTCCATCGAAAGACAACATCATCACGATAGTCTGCAGAATGTCCACAAGTCATTCGATTATCACAACAACAAATCGAGGAATTTCTTAGTAGTCCCATTTGCTGTAGTCGCTCAATTATCTCTTTTGCTTTACAATCCTCTGTGTACCAATCGTACGTGAGGATCGGGTACTGAAATTGGCGCTGCGACTTTGAAACCCCTCAAACGCTTTTGATTGGCTCATCCATAATATTATAGTCTTACCAAAATTTGTTTACATAGTGATTAAACAAGTTTTTTAAAACGAATACAAATAATCTAACTAAATCTTGTTTTCAAACTATACAAACATGTTTTACAGATTATCAAGTAAGGTTTGTTCTTTTTTTTTACTTCTTTCAATGGTTTATTTTGATGTAGAAAAAAATCTACTAAAGATATAATTACACTTCGTCCAAATCAAATAATCTCAATTGCATCATTCATTGCAACAGATCTAACTTGGTTATCAATTAGTTTACATTTAACAGCAATGAAATGTTCTAAGCCGAAGATCAATTTTCAATGGTATATGAAATCACTTTATGATGAGGTAAATAGAAAATTCTTTGAAATAGTTGAATTCATGAATCAATTGAAGTTAGAACTACATGGAAAACCTGAAGGCACTAGATGGTTGTTTCGTTCTATTATGGTATTCCTCAGGAGTGTATGTCCATGATCCCACCTCGTAGGATTCGAACCTAAGACCTACCGGTTTTGCACGAGAACGCTTAACATCTAAACCATTGGGTTAGTTGAAGTTAGACAATAAAACCGTTGGATTCCGGTTCAGTGGTCTAGAAGTTAGGTGTCCACATACGATACCGAAGGCCCTGAGTTCGAGTCTACTTTGTGTAAAGTCATGGGTGTTGAGGAGTCCCGTTACAAGGCACAACGGCCATGTAATGCTCCCGTGTTTTCCATAGTGGTCTTGCTTCAGTTTACCCATGAGCCCAACTATTAAATTACTATTATTGTTTTTATAACAATTTGATCTAATCGTTTGTTAATAAAGTTTGATCAGTCTTTGATGACATACATGTATCCTGTACTGATTATCCTGATATAGCTGATTGTCTGACAAGTTTTTAGAATAGGTTTTTCAAACATTATATCGTTTGAAAAAACTTCATAACTGTTTGAACTCAGCAGCTGAATGGATAATAACGTGTTGATGTTTCATGCGAAAGGTGTTGGGATTGAGTTCCATTGTGAACATGATTATTGAGATCCGTAGGTTTCCAACCTGAGTCTGTTGGACTCCATAACAACATAAGTGTCAGGATAAGTGATTCTTCAAGCCTTTTTGTCAGTTGACTTGTAAACGGCCTCTTTATTCCATTCTTTATCGAATCAGCAAGCAAAGATGACATAATTGAATATGAAAACTTACTATTAAAAACTAAACCTATGAAATTACAATGTGCGATTTTGATACTAACTAAAATACCAAAATAATCGAGCTGTATTTTGAATGTAACACAAAATGATAAGCGAAGAGTTAGTCAGTAAAAAAAATTGTCCTAGATATTGCTTCGGTCTGTTAGAAAAAGACATTTCCATCCAACTAATTGTGAGGATAGCCCATGAGTGAGCCGAAGATATTTCATCCAATTACCTTTTAGAAGAATATTCCGGAATCTTTACGTGTAGCTTACCTATTGGATAAATGCTAAAAACCCCTGTATGCGGATTGAAGGACTATAATGATGATTTCGTTTTTAATAAAAAAACTATGAATACCTAACTGTTTGTACCATATTTGACATTGTTTTGGAATGGCATTCCTTTTACTAGTCTTCTATGTTCTCATTTGTGACTTGAAGGGTCCTAGCGTTCGAGTGCTCTCGTTGTACGCGGTATAATAAAAAGCTAAGTTTTAGATATAACCGATTGATGTCAGACCACCATTGAAAACCTGGAAGTACTGGACGGACGTTTCGTCCTATTGTGGGACTCCTCAGCAGTGAGCATCCACGATCTCGTATCGCGAGATTCGAACCGAGGGCCTTCAGTCTTGCGCGTGAACTCCTAACCTCTGGACCACTGAGCCGGCATCCAATGATGTTAATGTCTAAACTCAACTAATCCACGAAATTGCGCGACCATCTTCCATTGTACTAAAGTAGATACCTGTTTCTACCCGACACGGATTAGCTCCACTGGTCACTATACTACAAATCATTCATTATGAACTGGTCAATTATTTTCTCTAACAGAAAATATTCACCTGTATACAAGATACGCATCTTGGACTTCACTACTATCCACGATTCAAATGAATTAAACCTTTTATCCAAGTTCTTATTAAGACATTTCTCTTAGGATATACATATGACAATAGAGACAGTTTGGAATTTCAATAACTAGAAATTACAAACCCATATTAATTCAGATAGACTCATATAAATTATCGTGGTCCCATGTAGTGAACAAGAACATAAATGGGCAAAATCGAATGTAATTGAATATAAAATTATAGAACATCTTAGTCAAATTTGAGAATCATACAGTAAATACTTCATTTATAACATGTCAATCAATCGTCTCAGACTTCATCGTCTCTGCATTGCCATACCAATTGCTTTCTGTTCCCATTCTTTCCTACTCGATCTTGTTCAGCTTCTGCTGCCAGACACTTTATTCATGACTAGTGTTATATACTACTTATGTCGATATAAGTAGAACAAACCAGACTCGTTCCCCCCTTTAAAGCAGTGCTTCTTGTGGTGGTTTTGCTCACCGTGTCACTTTCTTCTTTTCTACAGTCTGTGTCACACTTTCCATCAAATGTTGAGTCTGTGGCGCTTTGACCTTTAAAGCTCCGTCGACCCACCAGGCCACCTAAACCTAATGTCCACCTGGCACGCAGGACGTTCAATGCCTGCGCTCCAGCGACCTGTTGAGACATAATCCTGTTCCCAGAGTATGTGGGCGCTACTACATGGTAAAGTAGTCTTAATATCATAGGACTGACTCAAAATATTGTCAGAAATGTTTAATATTGAGAAGTTACAGCATTTTTTAAAATCTCCTAACTATGATATCATTTCTTGTATCCTTCAATATATATATATATATCAAGGTGATTAAATCAATAATGCCCGATAACAAGCCCAATTCACCAATTCCTGTTAACCAAGTGACATGTCCAATAATTACAATATTGAATTGTCCTGGACGTATTGGTTCAATACAATCAGGAAAATGTAAATTTTTACAAGAAATTCTCCTTATTCCTAAACCATATTTAACACCAAAAGAAGTATGTTTCAAATCATATCAATAATTTCATGAATGTAATATTAACAAAAACGATGGATTTTCGTTTGTGACTAATCAATTTTCTCCGTTTTTCCTATTCGGTTATCATCGTTAAAAGAATTACTTTTATTAGGCAATGCCAATGTTCAGTTCACGTTTGATGAAGAATATTTTCGACAAGTTGATGGTGTTACTATGGATAGCCCTTTTAGGCCTCTCTTAGCTGATATATTTATGTCATATGTGAAAAATATGATGAGTGAGCTCATGAGTGAGGTGACTTTGTATAGAAGATGCATGTATGATATACTAATTATGTGTGATAAAGATTTTTAGGTTTCTCAGTTATTAGATAAACTCATTGGGGTTCAAAATGATATCGTGATGACTTATGAAGCAGAAAATAATGGCGAATTTCCCTTTTTAGACATACTTTTGAGTCGAAGGGAGGATGGTACTATAAGACGGTCAGTATATAGGAAACCAACTTGAATGGGGCAATACTTAACTTCCAATAGTTTCTGTTCATTGCAATGCAAGCGAAGCTTGATTAAGTGTTTCTTTAATAGGACTCAAAGAATTTGCACTGCTGACGAAGTTGAAAAAGATGAAAAGTTGCTGACTGACGCATTAATATCAAATGGTTATCCACTAAAGTTTGTATATAGGTGCAAAAGTTACTCAACGCCAAGACCTCTTGTTTATTCGGTTCCAAAGGAAAGTTTATATCCATCTACCATATAGAAGTGAATCAAATAGTATAGTTTTAAGACAGAGATTGAAAGCAGCCATTAAGAAAATCTATTATGCTGCTCAATTGGTTATGATTGAAAAGTCTAAGCCTATGATTCCAAACAGACATAGACAATACACTGTAGTGGTGAATAAATCCCCAAAATAAATATCTCTATAAGTCTTCGATATTGGATGCTGACCACATTAGTTTCAATAGACTCACCTAGCTGAAAGCACTCGGTCATGCATCCGCACTAGATCACGAGTGGGAACGTCGTGCTCAACATCCCGTGCAATCGCTAACCGGCCTAGATAAGTCAATCTTCGATATATTGATAATCTATCAAATATATCTTCCAACCTCCTCACTTCTGTCTTTTGATTTTATTTGGTGGATACGATTCATATTAGGTGTTACCGGTTAAAGTGTTGTCAAACTCCAAATACCTATGGAATCTTTAACACAAACCATGTTCATCGATAGCGATATATATTTGAAACGGGGCACAAAATTGACATGAATACACCTTCTAAGGACAAATTTTCAAGTTTATTAAAACCTTGACTACTTGCGAATTTGAACTCCCTCCCTGTGTCATGACCTTGAATGTAGATAATTTAAACAAAAAACCTATATAATTTTCTTTTCTCTTGATCTAGTTATTAGATGATCTGTTCATTATTAAAACAAAATTATCACAACATTTAATGAATAAACCAAATGTAAGTTGACAAATAATAAAATTGGTTTGTTTTACTAATAAGTTAATAGTTCATGCCACAATTGATATGTGATAATGGAGCATCAAGTGTTAATATTGATAAACCAGAACAAGCATTTGATTTATTAATAGAATTTCTAGAACAAATTCAATTGAATAATCATTTCTATTTTGGTTTATTCATATCACCAAAAGGAATATTTGATACGGTTAGTTAAATATATATTTATATTACTTATAAGTAATAAACTTTATGCAAAACTGTATTCATCAGAAAGGGTTTTTCTTGTGGAGATTGTAGTAATTTGGATAGTTGATATCATTAGTCAATTAAAGTTAGACAACCATGGAAAACCTAGGAGCACTGGGCGATCATTTCGTCTTAGTATGGGACTTTTCAGCAAGGCGCATCCACGATCCTGCCTCACGAGAATCGGATCCAGAATCTATCAGTCTCGTGCACGAACACTTACGATCTGTACCACTGAGCCGGCAATTAACGGTGTTAATATCTATCTTAAAACAATCCACGAAATTGAGCGATACATCCACCATTGTTTTCAGTGATTTACTATCTCACAACAGCCCTGGTTGAACTCCACTGGTCACTGCTTCTCCCTAGAACTCCATGAAATAACTCTTGAAGCCAGTCACTAGTGAGCATATAATGATTATTATCAGAAGGGGGTTTTGTGTATATTATAGTAATTCTAATAGTTGAGTTCAGTTGAAGCTAGACAACCATGAAAAACCTAAAAGCATTGAACGGCCGTTTCATCCTAATGTGGAACTCCTCAGCAGTGCGCACACACAATCACGCCTCGCGACCTATCGGTCTCACGCGCGAGCGTTTAATTTCTAGAATACTGAGCAGTTGGTGCAATGTTTGGTCAAAGTTATTGGTTTATTATCATTATTTCTTTCAATTTGGCTAACTCTATCTATTATGGTTTTCTAATTTTAAAAAATCTACCACGGAGTTAACCACTTATCTTCAAAGTAGTGCTGTTTGAATTACAGTCATGATTCTCTCATCCTCTAGTGTTGATCGAATTCCAATGGTCGAGTTGAAGTATTGTCACTAGCTTAAGTAACTCAATATTTATTACACTAACCACAGATTTTAAGTAGTTGGAGAATAGACTGGTCCTGGGTCTCGTTCTAATTGGTGGAGTGTAGAGTAGTTGTTTATACATTTGGCCCTCAACCAACAGGTCACATGTTCTTACACCCCTTTAACTACTTTGGTTAACATTTTGCTAGTTTTCACACAAAAATTGTAGTTCAAAAGTGAACACATAGTCTGGTAGTTAGTAAAAGAGTCAAATCACCAAACTTTTCGGGCTACAAATAACCCCCATGGTCTCTATCCATTTAAAAACAAGCTGAAGTTTAGATAGCAGTATACTTTGAGTTAAAATGGCTAGTAGCATAGCTTTCGATCCTAAAATACATGAAGCAACCTTATATTACTCAGTTTAAACATAGAAAGCGTACATTTACTTAAGCTTGCAGTTTTATCGTGATGAATGTATACGATAAGTATGTACAGGCTTTTTATGAACTAGTGTAATGTAAGGCAATTATATGATATCCAGTTGTTGAATTCATCATGTACTTATTAATGGAAGGCTTCAAGATATTTCTCCTCGAGTTCTAGCGAGAAGCGATAAACACTGGAGCCCAATTCCTGTCGGATAGAGACAGTTATCTACCTTATACAATGGATGGATGGTTGCACGAGATCATAGATCGATTGAAGATAGACATTAACACGGTTTGATACCGGATCAGTAATTTAGAATTTAGGTGTTCGCATGCAAGAAAAAAGGTCTTGTATACGGGATCAACACACGAAATCCATAGGTATCAACAATAATAACATTTAAAATGAGATCAATCTATACCCGAAACAACTAATGATCAAATCTGTTATTCAAAAATAGTTGAAATTCACTTGGTATTGTTTGCTTGTATCTTCCTATTGTTGTTTAGAACTGCAACTGATCAGTTACTGATTGCCATATATGCCTCCCGTGAGGATTGCCTCAATAATGCTATTTATTCACAAGCATTCTAAACCAAGATGGATGATGGTCACCAGTGGAATCCATGACACGTGTTTCGTCCTATTTGGAACTCGTCAGCTAGATGTACCTGCTGATATATCTGAGCTCGGAATATAACTTTCATACTAGAACTAAATGGTCACCCATTGCTTCTAGGTTTTCCAAACTGATCCAACACTAATCATTTTGTCGTGTCAATGCGACTGAACTCTATACTGATAATATATATATATCTCGAAAAATAATCGATTTATTTTGTGGTAGTGAAACTAAAATATGATTGGTTAATGAATGTGGACAGACAGGCACTTAGCCTACTGACTAATCAATATGTGATTTCCTTTCTTGTCATTGATTTATTACTCTGAATTCACCGAGATTGATTGATTGATTGATTGTGATTGTATTGAATTAAGTATTATCTATTCTTGCCTTCAAATGCTTTAGTACGGTCGAGAGTGATGAGAGTCAGCTCTCCTTCTCGTAATATTCTCACATGACCACATGTGTATACAGTCAATGCTAAGGAAGTCCTATTCACTGCCTTCTTGCGGTGAGGGTGTTGTTTGAGAAATTGGGAGGACGAAAAGCGAATGTCCATCGCTTCAACCGTGCCTGTAGATATGTAGGATCCAGTTAGAGGAGTTGGAAAAGCCTCATTCCAAACCAATGGTGTACATAACCTCCACGATCCTGAAGGAACTAATAGCGTATGAGCCAATTATTGGTCACCGACTACCATGTGACTGCATCTCTTGACATTGCTCCACACTACCTTGACAATTACACCTTTAGGCCAAAGGTTCAGGATTCCCTAAGAAAAAACCATCTGTTTCGGTTTGAACACCCAAGCAGTATCATAGTTGACACCTATATCAACTGAGTTGTATGGCGCATATATATTCAGTGCCCTTTCGTACCAATATTGATGTGTTCAAATAGATAATAACATTTCTATTCTGGGTCGTTAATCCTGGATTTAATTCAATCTGACTAGTTTTATCATCGCAATATACCAAAGAGAGAATACTATTTTAAACCATCTTTTACCCCATAATTTATTCTTTATTTTATTGAATAGATAAAAGAACGTTATGAGATAATTACGGGAAATTTGAAAACACCAGAAGAATTGGTCAATTATTATATAGATTTAATTGGTAGATATCCACAAATACGTTTATTAATTGATCCATTTAGAGCAGAAGTAAGTCATGATAAATACAATTTGGAAATCATCTTGATTCTATCTATGAACATTTAAGAAATACTTAGTACAGATGTGTTTGTTCTTGTTTGAAACACTTTATCCATCTTGATTATGATTATGAATACAGTGGTCTTGAGTGCTGATAGAGGTATGAGGGCGGTTATCACTTCCCGGTTGCCCACATCATGGAAGGGTTCTTCTGGAGGTAACTGAAAAAGAAATTGCATTAGAGGTGGTCTTAGTGACCTGAGAGCGTGGTCACAGTGCCCAAGCGACAACTGCTTGAGGTCGGTCACACACGACACTTTCTAACCCCATCCCACCCCTCCTTGTGAGAAGGCAGCATCTCTATGATGCTGGTTGTCTGAAGGAAACACCTTGGTGCTGTCACACCTTTGTGCAGTCAGCATTACAACTTCGCCTTCGGACCTTGGGTTTGTTGCATTTAATCTTACCGCTCTTCAACCGACCTATCTGGCATAGTAGGACCTTTCCAGTCAGTATAGCTCGGTTGCTTCATCACAATAGGCAAGCACAACCAACAAGTCAAGGTAGCAACAACGGCAGAGCTTTATCAATCTATAATACTAGTATGGTATATGCTACTTATAAAGATAGACATAAGTAGTATTTATCGGGAACTAAAAGGGAAGATTCTTATGGACAAAAAAGAAAGTTATTTCAATCGTAATAAGAATAAAAGAACAATGAAGTTTATAAGTTACAACTCAAAGAAGACATGCAACACAGTCCATCTAATTCATTGTTTTCATATTTTACAAATGTATTATGCTTTATATCGACAGACATAAGTAGTACATATTACTACTTACAAAATGAAATGCCTAGTAGCAGAAAGTTAAGAGAATTAGATTGAAGTGAACGGAAACAGAAATCAGTTGTATTGTAGTGAACAGAACACGGGTGGGGACAACTGGATGTATTTAGCACAAAATTACAGAGTTAATTGATAAAATAGGAAAACCAAATAGTAAATCGTTAATTTGCAAAATATCATTCCATCCTATCAAACCGGACTGTTGCCGTTGCCAACATCAGTTCATTGTCTCACATTTCATTGTTCATGCGGTTTCTTACAAATTCCATTGTGTTCTCGCGCTTCCTTTCTTGATCTTCCCCCATCTTCTGCTGCCAGATATTACGTTCTTTAACTCGCGTTATATACTTCCTAAATCAATATAAGCAGCACGCACCACACTCATCCTCCCCCCCTTAAAGCAGTCGTTCTTGTGGTGGTTCATGCTCGCCGTGCAACATTCTTTGTCGCTGTAATCTGTGCCACACTTTCCGTCAAAATGTCGAGTCTGCGGTGCGCTGACCTTCATAGCTTCGTCGACCTGCCGAGGCAACAACAGTATTAACAGTTGAAGGAATGATAATCTTTAGGACAGTTGATGAAGGATTTGCAAATGAAGTACTAAATGTATAACTTTCATATTTCATTATAGAACTTCTTAATTTTAAATCAAATAATGAATGGATTGCCTTCACCCAATGTTCTCATTCACATTACAATCACATTGGTAATTAATGTCCATAATTGTACGCTATTCTTCGTACAGGTATGATTGACTTACAGATCGATTAAATCTATAAATTAGGGAAATTTGTACTAGGATGATGGAGAAATTCGAATGTTTCACTTCTATCTGAAGTTTGTACTGATGATATCATTCAGAAGAACAATGAAAACTCCACGACCAAACCATTCAGCACAGAGAACAAAACTCCATTAAAAATTTGCACTAAATTCTTACAACATATATCTCAAATTGATATTATATTGAACATTTGTCTCAGATTTCATTGTTCTGGTTGTTTTCTTTTCTTCAATCTTTTTCACCTTCTACTACTAGACAATTCATATTCAATTGGTGATATATACTACTTATATCTGTTGACATCAGTAACATATACCACAATAACTGTTTATGAGTATTTATTTATATATCTGGTAATGAAACTTATTTAATAATCATTAAGCTTGTGCAATACATATAAAGATCCAATCTATAAAACCAGATATATTTCATCGTTGATGAATCAAAAGATGGTACTGTTTAGCAAGAATTTAATCCGTTGGACGCCGTCTCAGTGGTCTAGTGGTTAAGTGCTCGCGCGCGAAGCCAGTAGATCCTGGGTTCGAATCTCACAGGGGGGGAGGTCATGGATACGCACTGCCGAGGAGTCCCATAATAGGACGAAACGGCCGTCCAGTGCTTCCAGGTTTTCCATGGTGGTCTAGCTTTAAATGACTCATGGTCTGAACCATTGAAATTACTACTATCTCCACAAAACCCATCTGATAAAAATTTAATCAATAATAAGGTTTCATTAAATTTGAGCCGTGTGAAACATTCAACCCTATTCGTTTCAGTGTAAAAAAGCACAATTAACCAACAAATATATCAATAGTTAAGATCATGAATCGATTGAAGCTAGACTATCATGGAAAACCTGGAATCATTGGAAAGCTGTTTCGTCCAATTGTGGGACTCGTCAGCATTGTGTTGAGAATTCTATATTTTACCAAAAATATTATTGTTGAATAAAGCAACAATAATAATAATAATGATAATAATAATAATCACTAATTAAATATCAAATATTATAGTTGCATCTCATGTCCCACAATAAGACGAGACGGTCATCTGTTGCTTCCAGGTTTTCAATGGTTGTCTAGCTTGAATTGACTAATGATCTGAACTATTGAAATTTGTTGGAGAGATCCAGAAAACTCCTTGAAAACAAAAAGTCATTAGAAGGCTTTGAAAACACTAAGAAGCATCTTATCCAATCAGCATTCAATAGAAGTTTTACCAGAAGCATCTAGAAAGTGAAAAGTCACATATCGAGTTTCTAATTAGATGATTACTTATACTTCACTACTACGATTAGTAGTATTTCAGAATTTTCTAGAAACCTAAGGCCGTTAAAAATATTATGAAAACACTAGATCTTCCATACATAAACTTACCTTTCGAGTAAAGCGTTTCTTCCATATTTCGCACCTTTTCTCTCATGTTCATGTTGCTGTGTAGATTTAGCCTGGGAGAGGGGTTACTAGAAAAAACTTAGGAACTGTATCTAACGTTCACTTAGAAGACTTATCAGAGTCAAACAGAAGTGTGTAGGGACAGAGAGGAGAGAGAGAAAGAGAGAGTAAAACAGACTTACATAATACTTAATCTATGGTATTATTTTTGTTACTATGATCTTCTTTCTTTATTTAGGATAAAGAATATTGGGAATTATTAAAAACACGTATTACATCATCAATATTGATTACAACAAGTACAATAATTCAACCAGCTATAAAAGAGATAACACTTAATCGATCTAATTCAATGATTACAAAAAATCTTAAAACAATAACAACATTATCATTATTTGATGAATCATTAAAATTTAGTATTCCAACTGGTTTAACTATTTATGATTTAATGAATAGTTGCCAAGGCAACAAAATTCATCATCATAAGGATGATGTAAATCATGTTGACATAGATACTACTACTACTACTACTACTACTACTACTACTACTACTACTACTACTACTACTACTAATAATAATAATAATAATAATAATAATAATAATAATAATAATATAAAACAAATACCGAATGATGCATTACAATCTACATCATTATGTAATACAGTTGATAAACAGGATATGTGTTACTCATCTTGGTTATTCACTATGGATCCATGTTTAGATTGTGTTTTAATAACAGAAATTATTCAAGCAATTCATATATTACATTGTAAGTAATAAGTATATATATAAGTTGTATATTCATTTGTATTTGTTATTTGGATCTTTTCATGGATGTTTAGGATTGAAATTTATCAGTCTCTTATGGGTAGATTCTGTGTGAGGGCTGGGATACTGTCTGGGTGTCCAAAACAAAGCCGGAGGTTTGTTTAGGGAGCCACACACCGAGCTTTTGGCCTAAAGGTCTAATCGACAAGGTAGTGGAGCAATGTCAAGAGATGCAGTCACATGGTAGTCGGTGACAAATAATTCGTTCATACGTCATTAGTTCCTTCAGGATCATGGAGTCCATGTACACTATTGGTTTGGAATGAGGGTTCTTCAAATCTTCTAGGTGGATCCTCCGTATCCACCAACATTGCTTTAGATCACAGGCAATATAAGCAGGTGTATATATATTGTTCATATAAACTACGAAATATGAAAGAATGAAACTAATGTGAATAGATTTACTAATCGATATCAAGTGTCAGAGATACCAGTCAGAATACTTATTCTGATCTTCTCTATTCCTTGTCTACCATTTCTTCTATGGTCTGTTGTCTCAAACCTGACCCATTATACTCTTGACCAGCACCGTCGACCTTGAACCAACTCACTTAAACTCCTATCCCATCATCTTTCTTTATGCCTTTCCTTGGGCTTCGAAAAGTCAGTAACTAGTTTCTACCATTTCTATATTTCAAATAGACAACTATGTACAAACAAGCGAAACATATCTGTGAATATCAACATTTGAGATCAGGAGTCAATTGAAGTTAGACCACCATGAATTCAAACTCAGGACCTATCAGTTTCGTACCAGGCGCTTAACCAACTAGACCACTGAGCCGTATCCAACGGTGTTAATGTCTAACTTCAACTTATCCTGGGTCCGAATCCAGCGAGACGGGGTCACAGATGCGCACTGCTGACGAATCCCACCATAGGACGAAACGGCCGTCCGATGCTTCCAGGTTTTCCGTGGTGGTCTAGCTTCAATTGACTCATGATCTCAACTGTTGAAATTACTACAATCTCCACTAAACCTCTTCTGATACATATCTGTGAATAGTTGATTGACAATTAAGTAGTTCTAATAAGTAGTATAATAGTAGTGAATCGATTAAACGGAAGCCTATGATTAACACGATATTTATGCTTAATAATCTAGTTACTTTATAAATATGCAATAAGAATGCATTTAGTAATAGCTTGATAAATGGTTCGAATAGTTCCAGCTTTTACAATATTCGTCCAGTAATAACGCAAAAACAAAAAAAAACACGTTTTGATCGTCAATTAAATCTGGAAAACGAGATCTTACCCTTGGCAATTGTTTGTACCTTCCCATTGAGGTTTAAGACTGTAATTGGGAAGATACAAACCAAACAATTACCAAGTAAATTTAAATTCACCCTATTGCACAAACAAGTGGCTATCAGGACTCAGTAGCTGAGTGGATAACGCGATGGCGTTTGAAGTGAATGCTACTTGGTTTGAGTCCCAAAGTGAACGTCAACTCTCTGAGATGCAGGTACATCCAGCTGACGAGTCCCAAATAGGACGAAACGCGCGTCCTGGATTCCACTGCTAGTCACTATTCATCATTGCTTACAGAGATCTTACTGTTGTTCTGTAAACGGTAGACTTTGATTACATGTCAGTCATTTGGACATTAATATCAATTGTCCTTTATTTTACATTAATATGTATCTATGTAACTAACTAACTAATTCACGTTATTGTTATTTTAACGAATGAAAACTATCAACTATCATTAAAAGTACAAAATCGGCAAGTGATATTCAGTTTGGATAATCTACAAGTGATTGAAGATTGGCCAATGGATATGGTGAGTAATCAGTATTCTTTTTAAAAAAAAAGTTAGTTTAATGCAATACACAAGTATCTTACTACGATTGTGAACCAATTTAAGTTAGATAACCATTGGATGGTTGTTAGTACTGGACAGCTGTTTTTATTTTCTAGACTAGAGCTCCCCATCCATGCATATTCATGATCTTTGAGTCAAGAATCGAATTCAGGACCTCAGCTCTTGCCATCAAACTTTTAACACTGAGTTTATTGATCCGAGATCCAATGGTCTACAAGTCTAGCTTCAGTGAGTTTGGAATATTGGATGGCCAGTTTATAATTATCTTCAATGGGTAGCTTCCATCTACACGACACGATTGAAATCTAGTAGTAACAAGTCAGTGGTCGGTAAGTTAGTCGTTTACGCATGAGACCAAAGGTCTTACGTTCGATCTTTCGATGGCTAGGATTTGCGTGCACAATTAAGTCATCTCATACTATGATAAAACACTGCCAATTAGTGCTTACAAGTTTCCAATGGTTTTCTAACTTCGATCAGTTCTTAATCTTAATAAAACTAAACAGTCTTTATAACCTCGTTTTGACATTTTCAAAAAAATAAATGGAAGTGTAGTAACAAGACTAGTAGTTTGTGTTTTCGAATCAGAAATGGTAGGAAAGTTCAAAGGAATTCTAGTGAAAGCTGTTCATTATTCATCTGATTATAGTCAGCATAGAGCCTGGTTGAAAAGTGAGGTAATTCAAATCTTCACACCGAATCAAAACAGTGAGATACAAGTAACGTGATGAATAGTGAGGAAGTTGATATAGTTGTGAAGGCGAGGATAGGTAAAGCAAGAGCAACATATTTACAACTGAAGAACATCTGGAACTCAAAACAACTGTCAACCAACACCAAGGTCAGAATTTTCAATACAAATGTGAAGACAGTTCTACTGTATGGAGCGGAAACCTGCAGAACTACGAAAGCCGTCATCCAGAATATACAAGGGTTTATTAACAGTTGTCTACGCTAAATACTTAGGTTTCGTTGGCCAGACACTATCAGCAACAACCTACTGTGGGAAAGAACAAACCACATTTCAGTGGAGGAAGAAATCAGGAAGAAGCGCTGGAAGTGGATAGGACACACATTGAGGAAGGCACCCAAATGAGTCACAAGTCAAGCCCTCACATGGATTCCCCAAGACCAAAGAACACATTACACCGAGAAATGGAGACAGACATGAGATGAATGAAAAAAGTAGGATAGGACTAGAAAGGAAGGCCGAGGACAGAGTGGGTTGGAGAACGCTAGTCGGTGGCCTATGCTCCATTGTGAGTAACAGGCGTAAGTAAGTAAGATATAGCTGTAGTAGCAGCAATAGTGAGAAAGACTAAACGTCGATAATATTATTCAAAAAGTAAGAAAAGTGTATGAAGGTGATGGAAATTTAAATCTATAGGAAGGTTTAAGAATGAATGTATCTACGCCACCATGATCGGTTCTAAGCCATGTCAAACATGATCTTCAGTCACTCATCAAGGTTCACACACATAGTTCGATCTTGGAGCTTGCATGTACTAGGAATATTGTACCTTCACTTACCATTCCATCACAAAATTCGCATTCCACGTACCTAAATTAATAGTTGCTCTGGCTGTCAGAAGGAGCATCGGCCTCGTAACTTCCGAACGAACTCGGCTTTCATCATGAGGCGTCATAACTCTTCTAAATGAAGACCTTCTGACTCCCAGGGCAGAGTTTAAAAGGTTTGAATAATTTTTTCTGGTTAGCGTTTTTTTAGCGAGTTAGTTTTCTACGGGATGGGTTCGCTAACCCCGTGCCCACCCTCCTCCTTTATCCGCGCTTGGGACCGGCATTAGCCCCAGAAGGGTTCCGAGTGGTAACCTGATGGGTCCATTACTATACAAGGAACTAAGAACAGTTCATTATAAATGAGATTTCTAACTACTATTTTGAACAAACTCTATTAGAAAGGAATGTCTATTCTTTAAAGTTTATTCGGAATAACGATTAGTGAATTGTAAATAACGTAGAATTAGCCAAATTTGTACAGTGTTCCATATAGTCAAGTCATATCAAAGTGGTTAGATGCCAAAGTCGTGGAATCAGTAACTGTGTATTAATGGTAGTATAGAAAAAAATAACACCATAAAGAATATTATCAGAAGGGGTTTGTGGAGATTTTAGAAATTTCACAGATTAAAATCATGAGTCGATTGAAGCTAGACCACCATGGAAAACGTTGGAGCACTGGACGACCGTGCACGACTGTGCACTGCTGAGGAATCCTGTGCTAGTACGAAACGGCCGTCCATTGCTTCCAGGTTTTCCATGGTGGTCTAGCTTCAATTGACTCATGATTTCAATCTGTGAAACCATAAAGCATAGGCAGAATAAAAATATTTTGCTGCACAAACTAATGTAAGGCCAAATAGAAAGTGAATGTATTCACGCTATTGAAACTGTTCCTCAGTTTTGTCACTAAACATTTCCAGTCATTAGTTATAGTAATAGTATAGGACTCATACTACGTAATCTATATTTATCAATGCAGGTCAATCAATCTAATAATCAATGAATTTATGAATTGATTAATATCATGGATAGATGGTGGCTACCATTCGAATCTAAGACGCATGTTACATCCTATTTGGAACTCATCAGCTAGATGTACTTGAAATAATGATCACTGCGAGACTCGAACCCAGAACCGTTCACATGATACATCCTATTTGCGATTCACCAACTTGGTGTACCTGCATCTCATAGTTGATGTTCACTCATGGACTCGAACGTAGTACCGTTCTGGGATTCATCAACTGGATGGACCTGCATCTCATAGTTGATGTTCACTCATGGACTCGAACCCAGAACCATTCACTTTAAAACGTCATCTTAACTTAGAGGGTTGGGATCTAAGGCACTATCGAGGCATTGCACATACACCAATAAGAGACTGATTGATTACAGTTTCATGTATAACATTTTTTTTCTCATTCTATCCTATTCACATGTTTCATTATAAGTTCCCCTTTCTTTTGATTGGTTGGTTGGTTTATCATTTAGGCAATTGGTTTAGGTATAGATTTTATCAAAATTACTGGATTGAATAGAATAGATCAAATGAATAAACTGATAACATGGTATCATTACTATCAAGATATAATTGATCATTTAAAGGATTCAATCAATGAATGGAAGTTGTATGATTCTTCACTAATGGAAAATTCTTTCAATGTATGAATGTATTCGTTAAGTCATTCATAATATTAACATATACATATCATAATGATGATTTTTTTTTTGTTATAAAAGATAATGTATAATGATAATGAATTGTCGTTCTGTAAATACTACCATTCAATCAGTTATCATGAACACTGGGTGTCACCACTACTCAGTATGTCAGATGCTCGTTAATGCAAATCGAATTCTATCGGCCAAGTTACAATGTGGCCAGTAGTTTAGATGACTCTACATTGCGTAAACGACGTTGAGATAAGATGGTGGTTGAAGGTAGTCAACCGGAAACCCTGGACCTAGGTCTTATGCTACTTAGTATTCGCCAGTAAGGTGTACTTGTATTCTCGAGGGAACTGGTGGCCATATTGCTACCTTGACGTGGTGGCTGAGATTGCCTATCGTGATGAAGCAACTGAGTTATACTGAATGGAACAATCGTTCCTCAAGGTCCTACCATGCCAGACAGGTCGGTTGAAGAGCGGTAAGACTAAAAGCAACTAACCTAAGGTCCGAAGGCGAAGTCATACTGCTGACTACATAGAGGTTTGACAGCACCAAGGTGTTTCCTTCAGACAACAAGCAGAACAGCGATGCTGCCTTCCCACAAGGAGGCGTAGAGTTAGAACGGTCGACCCTAAAATACACAACTCACCTTATCCCATGGATACCCGTCTCCGGTGGTAAGGTCTCAACAAGTACGGAGCTAACACGAAAATTACTCACAAAAAAGTCGTGTGTGACCGACCTCAAGCAGGTGTCGTTTGGGCACTTTGGTTATGCTCTCAGGTCACTGATACCATCTTCAATTTAATTTCCTTTTCAGATACCTCTAGAAGAACCCTTCCACGATATGGGCAACTGGGAAATGATAACGTCCTTCATACCTATAACAGCACTAAGAAGGACATGACATTGATCACCACCCAGTGATTAATCAGTTGTGAATACATCACAGTCCTACAGGAGGTCAATCCCGGCCCGGATAGCTCAGCGATAACATCATTGACTGTGAAGCTGTATGACACGGGGTCGAGTCCGTCAGGGTGATTTTTTGTGAGACCTCCTTGTTTGGGTTTTGATAGATTCGGATAATGTGTTATGGGATAATAGGTTTAGAAAGATTTGTATGTTAGTTAATAATGTGAGATGTGGATAGAATTAATTGTGTGGATCGTTAGGCCTTTTTTTTAATTAAATGCAGTAAGGTTTAAGAATGGATGAATAGGTTCAGCAGCTCATGTTTCTTTATTATTTGAAAAACTTATCTGAATTGGACGGTTATAAAAAATAATCATGTACTCCTATCGCCGGTCATATTTGGAGTCTTTTAAGTTCTTAAGGATTAATTGGTGGTATTTTAGTGTAGCTTAGATATTCTTTGCCACGAGTTATGGTTTCACGAAAAGACTCTCCGTTATGGAATGGATTATGATCTACACATTTTAGTTTGTAGACATAATTCTGTACCAAAACAAAAAGGATATTATCTTTTATTTGAACCAAAGTATTATGAAGAGTGTTTGTTTTATAGAGTGCTTTAATTCTGTCTGATTTAAAGATATGTCGTGGTTCTTATATTATGCCATGTGGGTGTGGTAATGTGGTGTATGCTATTTATGTCTGTCGACATAAGTAATACGTAACGCCAGTTGGAAGAGAAAACCCTGGTAGCAGAATGCGCAATGCTAACCGATGTGAAGGATGGTTAGAGGGAAATTAGGGGCGACCAAACTAAAACGTGGCATCAGCGCTTAAAGTTACTAACTTCTGGTCTGAGACATGTTGGTAGATGCAGACTACTTGGTTGGGGTCCGCGTGACAATCGTAACCAATGGTTGGAGACTCTTGATGACATGGCTCAGAATCGATCACAATGGCGTCGGTGTATGCACTCTCTTGTCTTCCTTTAGGCCGGGATATTAAAATCGTATCATATCTTTCTTTCTACGAACTAATTCTTTCTTCCTGTACTGTATCCTTATATGCGATCTTTCTTTTATATATTACACCATCAAGTTAACTGCTCCTATGAATCCGGTGTTCATCGTGTTGTGCTAATGAGGTATGGCAACTTGGACTGATGCATATATGTGCCTTGTCTTAAGCTGTAGCTGACTGACTGACTGAGGAACATCGAGTTGAAGAGAATAGAAATGGAGATAGAAAGGAATTGTGGACTGGAAGAATCATACAGAATGTGAAGGACAAATAATGGAAGTTTGTTAATAAAATATTCAATGTACGGTTCTCAAATTTTAAAAAGAGATTACGTGATTTAGTATCTGAATACAATCGGTTGTCCCAACATTCACAACAGTAGAATCAAAGTACTAAGGCATGATATTGCATTCAGAATTCAAAAAGGCATTTTGTTTTAGCATATTCTTAAAAGTATCTGTCGGGAAGTTATCTTCATCTGACGTAATGATCTTTATGACTAGTCTGAACAGATCTGTAATCTAAGATGCTTTTGCATCGAGTACTTGTGAAATCAATTTAATGATTTGAATGTGTTGATTTCTTGTAGGCAGTATGGTTTACACTTCCATTTGTCTTTCTTTTCATTAGTCATCAGTCTAAAAATGTTAGCTCGCTGAATTGATTCTCAAAAGCGAATATGATATGAACTGAGAAAGTTTGTATTTTAGTAATTTAATGGTTGATTTCGTGATTTAGTTAAAACTAGACCACCATGGAAAACCTGGAAGCAATGTACAGCTGTTTCGCTCCAATATGGAACTCCTCAGCAGTGCGTGTCCACGATCCCGCATCGCGAGATTCGAACTTATCAGTCTCGTGTGCGAACACTTAACCTTTAAACCACTGACCACAAAATGGAGCCACCATCCACCATTGTCTTCAGTCAGTTACTATCTCAAACCAGACCCGGTTGGACTCCACTGGTCACGGCATCTCACTAGAACTCCAGGAAATACCTCTTGTGAGACAGTAACTGACTGATCACAATGACAGACGGTGGGATAATTTCGTAAATTGGTTGAAGTTAGATATTAACATCGTTGGACGCCGGCTCAATGGTCTAGACGTTAAGCGTTCGCGCGCGAGACCGATAGGTCCTGCGTTGGAACCTCGAGAGGCAGGACCGTGGACGCGCACTACTGAGGAATCCCACCATAGGATGAAACGACTGTCTAGTACTTCCAGGTTTTCCATGGTGATCTAACTTCAATTGACTCATGAATTCAACTAATAAAGTTTTTTATTAATTAGAAGAACAAAATGAGATAAAATTCCAATAGATCTATCAGTAGTACAACAAACAGATCAAACATATCGATTTAAATTGTAAATACGGCAACAATAATGATACCATTTGAATAATGTGATTAGCAAAGATGAAATTTAATACACTAGGTAAACAACGTACTAAGATTCTGTACTAAGCTAAATAGAAGTGTGGGCTGACTAAATGTAAATATCCATATGAGACTTTTTTAAAATTATAGAAATTTCAAAGATTTGATATCACGAACTGATCTTAGTTAAATCACCTATGTATATGACTTCTTAGCAGTGAGCATCCAAGACTCGGATGAAGAGTTCAATATTAGAATGCAATGGTTGTCCAATTCCTCCAACAGTGATCTAACTCATATCAGTTCGTCATTTGAACTCTATCGAGGAAAATATAACTGGATTATTTATTCGACTTGTGTAACATTCGACATAGTTATTGTGTGATTCATTCTAATTACATATGAACTATGCTCATTTGATGAAAATCAACAGTTTCATATGTCGTTGGTTTTGCACCTTCTTTATGGTTGATTTGATCAAGTGTCGAATCAACTCATTCAACAAAGTACTCGAGGGTAAACTACACTTTAAGTATAAAGGCTAATGGTACTATGTGATTGCATAAATTGAATTAGATGGAACAAGGGTTATGATTAAATTAGACTATGAATAGAATCCTTTGAAACTGTTAACAGTAAACGCTCAGACTTTGTTAAGTAAGAAATATGAATCTCATTATAACTTTTCACATTCAGATGTCACTAAACTTTATTTTACGTGGTACCTATATACCGTCAAAATGCGGTAATTTAACACACTATCTTCAAAGCATTGTCAACAAATTTTAGATCAACTGAGCAAACAATGCCAGGGTTAGATGAATAGGAGTGTTTGAAGATAGTGGTGAATCGTGAACTCTTATCAATTGAGGCAACTATCTGATGTGTAACATTTTTCGAATAATCATCTATTTATACTGAAGTACAGTATTAACTAGAGTAGATTAAACAAAAACGAAGATATACGGGGTAGTTCAAGATATGGTATCAATCCACAATGTAATTGACATTTGATTTGAGTCTTGATGGTTAATGTAAACGAACTGAAAAGAGAAATGACTTGTATTTGATCACTGTGCCGTAGGTGGATTCACTCTTTGTCTCCTCCCCCTCCCCTATGCCTTGAGCTTCAATATTAGTCCGCAAATTTCACTTCTTTGACTTACCTATTATTTTCAAATTATATTCGCTAATGTCTAAACTTTCTCACTATTACTAATACTACCAACATTCTGAGCCTTTGGCTATTCATCGTGTTATCTTGAGTTAATGTTGTGAACAAGAACACCAATGGGGGTCAGTCTGAAGTATTTGAGCACACCAATTACAGAGCATCTCAGCGAAATCTGAGAACCATATGGTGAATCGTTAATTTGCAAAATATCAATCCATCATATCAAACTTGACTGTTCCTATTTCAAACATCAATCCATTGTCTCAGATTTCATTGTTCATGCGTTTTCATACCAATTTCGTTTCGTTCGCGTTCTTTCCTCGTTGACCTTCTAACGAAACACATTCTATGCCTAACTACCATTATATACTACTTGTGTGGATATAAGTAACCCACACCATATTAGTATGACCACTTAGACTAACGCTCTATGATAACTATTTTTCCCAGTGAAATTTCAAATTGATGCAGGCAATTAATTCTAAGACAAATTTTAATTCAATAATCAAAACTATGTACCATTCAATTGAGAATGGAACAAACAACATAATCCAGTGTACACTTACAAAAACTGAGCGCTTTCCAAATAACACCGTAATTTA